GAGAGGAGCGCGCAGGGCGGAGCCACCTCCATTCCTTTTCCTTCCGGATAACTCCTCCCTGTCGCACCCCGAGGCCGGTCGAAAGGGCGGGCCGGGGGGTCTCGCCTGACTCACGGCATATGACACTGATGCATAAAGACTGACAGCAGCTTCCCCTATGGAGGGCGGGTGGTTTTCAAAATGTGGTTATCGCCTTAGCGCCGCGCACAGTACTTGTAAAAAAGTTGCAAGAGCTTCCCGGATTGAGGGCGGCTCGTTTTCAAAATATGGCTTGACTCTCGCCTTAGCGCCCCGCACATTCATTTTAAGAATGTGCAAGATCTTCACGGACTGAGGGCGGGTGGCTTTCAAAATGTGGCTCTCGCCTGAGCGCTGCCCGCATTTGTTATCTAACAAGTCGCAGCAAGAGTTTCACGGATTGAAGGCGGGTCGTTTTCAAAACGTGGCTCTCCCCCGAGCGCCGCGCACATTGGTTTTTAGCAACTTGCAAGAACTTCACGGATTGAGGGGGCTCGTTTTCAAAATGATGCTCTCGCCTCAACGCCGCGCACATTCGTTTCAATAATTTGCAACAGCTTCACGGATCAAGGGCGGTTCCTTTCAAAATGTGGCTCTCGCCTCAGTGTCCCGCACATTCGTTGTAAGAATTTGCAAGAGCTTCCAGGATTGAGGGCGGCTCGTTTTCACAAAGTGGTTCTCGCCTTAGCGCCGTGCACATTCGTTCTAAAAGTTCGCCAGTACTTCACGGAATGAGAGCGACTCCTCTTTAAAATGTGGCTCTCGCAGCGCCGCACACACTCTGTCTAAACAGTTGCAAGAACTTCATTGGTTCTCATGGCTCACGTAACAAAAATTGCGTTCTGGAACAATTCTGGATTGTCAAGGCGCAACAGTTACGCTGATTCGCTGCGTTGAAGTCCCAGCGATGGTGTTCTGGCACGATTCAGGATCGCCATGACGTAACAGTCAGGTTACCTCGTGGCGTTGAAGTCCTGCGAATGGTGTTCTGGCACACTTCAAGATGTTCACACTGTTGACCCCCAACGGGTCAATTACCTTAGTGGAACTGACCCCTTGGGGGGTCTATGAAGAGGGATATTGGAGGGAGGGTGTATGTCAACATCGTTGATGAGTCTTGGGTTTACACTGGTCTTCCTGCTTCTCCTCCTCATCCTCCCCCTCTTCCTCCTCTGGGTCCTCCTACTCCTCCTCCAACTCCTCCTTAGCATCATAATCATAATCATCAGCTGTAGCATCATCGTCATCATCAGCATCTTCGTCATCGTACTCCCTCCTCTTTGCTCGTTCCTCCTCCTCATCCTCCCTCCTCGGTCCCTTCCCTCCTCGGCGCACGTCCTCCTCCTCCTCCTCCTCCTCATCATCATCATCATCATCACCATCATCCTCATCGTCATCATCATCACCACCATCGTCACCATAACAATCGTCGTCATAGTCGTCAACAGAATCATCATCAGCAGCAGCATCGTCGTCGTCGTTATCGTCCTCATCGCCACCACCACCGCCATCATCATCATCATCATCATCATCGTCATCATCATCCGCAGCAGCAGCAGCATCATCATCAGCAGCATCAGCATCAGCATCAGCATCAGCATCAGCATCAGCATCATCATCATCATCATCATCATCATCATCATCATCATCATCATCATCATCATCATCATCGTTCTTGTCTGCCTCCGCCGCCTCAGCCGCCTCCTCCTCATCCTTCTCATCATCCTCATCGTCCATTTCCTCCTCCTCCTCCTCCTCCTCCTCCTCCATCCCTTTTCCTTGGAGGTAACCTCGCGCTGGTGCACCCCCAGGCGTGTCGGTAGGGCGGGCCAGGCGGTTCGCCTTGGACTCCCGCACAACTTATGATGCTGAGGCTTGAAATCCGCAACAGCTCCTAGGATGGAGGGCAGGTCGTTTTCACAAAATGGAGCTCTCGCCGAAGCCCCGCCAGCACTCGTCTTAAAAAGTTGCAACTGTTTCAAAGGTGGAAGGCAAGTCCTTTTCGAAATGTTGCTCTCGCCTGAGCGCTGCACACATTCGCCTCAACTGTTAGCAACAATATCAACGATGGAGGGCGGGTCTCTTTCAAGATGCTGCTCTTGCCCTAGCGCCGCAAACATTCGTTTCGAAAGCTTGCATCAACTTCAAGGGTAAGGGCGTTTTTTCAAAATGTAGCTCTCGCTACACACACACACACATTCGTTTCAAAAGTTTACAGCCAGAAATGAAGGCGGTCGTTTTCGAAATAGAGAATCGCGAAAGCGCCGCGCACATTCGTATTGAAATCCTACAACCGTTTCAAGGATTCGTTGGGTTAAACTCCCAGGAATGGCAGCCTGGCACGATCTAGGACTAGGAGAACGCAACAATCACGTTGATTCGCGGTGTTGAAATCCCAGGAATGGTGTTAGGGTGCGACTGGGGATTGTCAGGACGCAATAATCATGTTGATTCGTAGTGTTGAAGTCCCAAGAATCGCGTTTTGGTTCGGTTGGGGTTTCTCCGAAAGTTGCATATGTTGTAAAACAGTTCCCGCAATGAACATAAATTCTTGCACGGACCTGTGAACAAGGGACTTGGAGGGAGGGTCCACTGCAAGGTCGTTGACACGTCTTGGACTTACACAAGTCTTCCTCCTCCTCCTCCTCCTCCTCATCATCATCATCCTCCTCCTCCTCATTCTACTCCTCCTCCTCCTCCTCCTCCTCCTCCTCCTCCTCCCCCTCCTCCTCCTCGTCCTCCTCCTCCGCCTCCTCCTCCGCCTCCTCCTCCTCCTCCTACTCCTCCCCCCCTCGCACACGAGGGCCACGAGGCGGCCAACACGAGCCACCGCCAGCCATGGAGCCAACTCGGGGACCCTCGGCCTCCCGCAGGCGAAGACCGCGGGAGGCCACGGGCAACAGCGAGCTAGCGCGCAGTGCCACTCCAGCCCTGACATCCCTTCGCTGCGAAAAGCTCACGACAAAAGGCGTCTGCACATGTAGGGCCTCCGGGAGCCTCGCCGGGCCCAGGACCGTCTCAAAACAGAGCAGGGTGAAAGATCGGGCCCGGGGAGGGGTCGAGACCTCCAGGGATCCACGCTAGAAAGATAAAAGGAAAAACAATTCGAAAAAAAACAACAACAACAACAACAAACTAAAACATACAAAATAAGATATGACATATGTATATATGTAAAAATTGATATGAATATAGAATCAATGGAAAAAGGGATCGGCGACGAAGGCGAGGAGATCTAGCGTCGGGCCGCGGGGGGGGGCAGCCGAATCAGCGCGCATGCCTTGGCGTGGCCAAGGTTTCGGGGCGCGAAGCCAGCCAGCGCTGGGGCCGGCTTCGTTTGGTAGGCTCGTCGGTCCACGTGAGCCGAAGGTGGCAGCTGCGCAAGAGCCAGGTGCGGTGGCCAAAGAATCCAGATCCTGCGGCAATAACAACAAGGTTAAGACTGTTCGCTCTGATCTGCTCGCGACCCATTCAACACCTAGATCCCAAACCCTCGATACCCATCCTCTTCGTCTTCGATCGTACCACCTTAGGGGTACATCTCTCTGACCTGCCCCGTGCAATTAGTGCAGGCCCCAACGCAGGGGAAGAGAGGACGGATGGAACGGGGAGGGAGAAGGATGGAGCACAAAAGAAATTAGCAGGACGGAGTCTAGAAGAAGAAAGCACGTGGCAGAACCAGACGGGCAGATCGGGCGGGCAGACCCTAACGGGCGGGTCGGGAAGGCGGGCCCAGGCGGCCAGGTCGAGCAGGCGGGTTGCTGAAGCGTACGCCCTGCATGAATCGCGAGGAAATCCCACCAGCCCTTTGGGCGTGAGTGGTTTAGAGAGCCCGCTCTGTTCTCAACCCCCTTCTTCCCCTTCGGGGAGGGGTTTACCCCTCCCCCTACCCCCTCCCCCTGGGCCTGGAGAGGGCGCCCCGCGGGTCGTTGGAGGGGTCTTTTTCGACTCCTGGGAGGGCTAAAAAAACGACACCCCTCACGAGGATTCTGGCCCCGACGGGGGGAGGCAGAAAAGTGTTCCCCTCTTCTTTGAAGCCAAAATCATTGATTTTACTACGGTTTTGGCCCCATTTTGGCCTTCTGAGGGGGCAGCGCTAATTAAAGCTCCCCTCTTCTTTCAAGCCAAAATCATTGATTTTACTAAGGTTTTGGCCCCATTTTGGCCTTCTGAGGGGGCAGCGCTAATTAAAGCTCCCCTCTTCTTTGATCGATTTCCTCCAAGATGGCCCCAAGAAGCGCCCAGGAGGCACCAAGAGGCCCCAAGATGGCCCCAAGAGGCCCCCAGGAGGCCCCCAAGAGGATCCCAAACGGCCCAAAGAGGCCCCCCCGAGGCACCCAAGACGCCGAAAAGCCCATCAGGACGACCCTCTACTCGCCTGGGCGTCGTTTCTGGACGGGCAGGAGGAGGGGCCCGAACGACTCACACCAGGACGAGGGGCCCGAACAACTCACACCACGAGAAGCCCGAACGACTCACACCAGGACGAAGAGCCCGAACGACTCACACCACGAAGAGCCCGAACGACTCACACCAGGAAGAAGGGCCCGAACGACTCACACCAGGACGAGAAGCCCGAACGACTCAAACCACGAGGAGCGCTTTCTCTCCCTCCTCCTCCGCCTCGTCCTTCTCCCGCTCCCACCACAAGGAGGATGTACAAGGAGGCGGGAGGAAGGAGGAACAGGGGAGATATGCGGGGGCAGGCGGAAACACGCCTGAAAAACACGACAGTCGGCATGCTTCGCTAGAGTTGCTGTTTTGAGATGGGCTGGTGGGGATACGCGAAGCGTGAAGAATTTCGAGCCATAGCGCGATTCCCAAATAAATCATGAAGCAATCCACCGCGAGAGCGTGATTCCTGAGTGTCAAGGGCGCGCGTCTGAAAACAAAAAACATGAAGTCCCACGCGAGAGCGTGATTTCTACATAAAATGTGAAGAGGTGCCGTGCGAGAGTATGATTTCGAAATGAATTGTGAGG